GGACTAAAGTAGTGGATCTAAAACTAAAGGGGGGTTATTATATACTTTACAGTATTCTTAGCTAAAGTGTATTATAGCTTTGCTATCTAATATTATTCTATGAAAAGCGGGACGCATATTATTGAGATGTTTGGTAAGCGCTGAAGCGAGATAAGACATAATCCTCGCACATGTTTGAAATTTGCAGTATGTAAGGGGCTGCGCTCCGTAGGGCAAGCGCTTAACTAGTATATATAAGGTTGTAACGTACGTCCCTCTATGACGGACATCCCAGTGTGTAATAAGTGACCAATTAGGTCACTTAAATTATAAACTTCTTGCAATTGGCCAGCTCTAGCACACTGGGATGTTAGAGGGACGCGCGTTAAGTGGCAAAGGTTTTTTCCTAACTAGAAAAAGACTAGCGTAATAAGCACGACACTTTAAAGTGCTCCTACTTGTTACGCTAAGCCGAAAGAGGCTGTTTATAGAATAAGCAAGCGTTATTAGCCGACAGGAAGCGTATCCGTAAGTAAGCACGAAGGCGCTTAGGTTAAACTCTAGATCGGTGTGAACAAAGTGTAACTATGGTAACTAATATAATGGCAGAGAGAACGTGGCGAACTTACTAGAAATTGGGAAAGCGTGTGCGGATTATGAGGAATAGAAAGACCTCTAGTAGGAACATAACTACGGAGAGGGAGATGGAAGCTATGAATGAGCTCAGAGAGACACTATAAAGTTGGTGAGCTTTTGAGAACGATTTTCTAAACGTGTCGTCTATAACTCTGGTCTAACGTTCTGTTCGTAGACTAGTTAGAAGTTTTCACATAGTGTTACGAGTAACAAGAAGGATTCTCTTCTTGATAAATGACGAGATGGCTGAAGACCTATGGACGTCCACGTTAGAAGGTAATGATTATCGCGGGGCGAAGATCACGTGACTGGCTTCACGCCAAGACCAAATATCCTGCGCTAGTATGTGAGGACACCCTTATACGTGACTAGATGTCTTCAGGGGCTTTAGGAGATACCGGGATTATTTCGTGAAGACCGTGAAGCTAGGACTGGAAACAATGAGGATATAAGGATGGATGGATTTTATTATTTCTCTTGTTGTGGTTAACTTAAATTGTACTTTCTTACTAGTATCTTTACTTAACAAGATAGTTATATGTTAGTCTATTCAATAGATTAGCGTTGTTAAAACCCTCGGTTACATCTATAACTCTTTTCTACTAGAATTACTAGACAACTCTCACGGAGCTAGTCTTATTTCTACTCGCCCTAACCTGGAACGAGCCAGAGAAGTATTAGTACTTAACCCCGTGTAACAGCGTGGAAAGCACTAGAGTTTAAGAGTCTCGTGCTTTCCACGCTAAGCTAAATAGGGCTATGTCTAGGATGAAGTACTCGCCCTACGGTGCCTAGTTCTTCCGAACTAGTAGAAGGTAAAAAGGCCTTCGCCGCTGAGGATTAATCTAGTCTAGCGTGGGTAGTTGAGAGACCTTTGAACTCTCTCGACTATCTACGCTAGGCTAGAAAGGGCTGTGTCTAGGATAAAGTGGAGGCTACCTGCTAAGAAGCAAGCGCATCCGGTACGGACCGTACTAGCCCGGTGGAAGACTGGATATTGTTCTTTTATTGGTAACTCTGTGTCGTGTCCTATTTTTAATTTGTAATTATTATTAATATATTGTGATAGGTTATCAAGGACAGTAAATTGATGGTGAAAAAGTGATTGTATTCTCTGTCTCTCCTGGAGACGCGCCCGCGCGTCTCTCATGGATAGCATATTACTGATCCAGATTATGTCACTGTATCTGATACTTATTAACGCTGTAAGACGCCTTGATCTGTCAATGCTTGAATTGCCTTAGAAGTCTATTCCTGGCAGCGTCTTAGTGGTACGCTTAGGTTGATGCGTTTCGGTCCGTTGAATTGTTTCGGTGGAGGTGGAATTGCATCGACGATAGACTGGATTTGAGCATAGTTGGTTTCGGAGACAGTACCGATATAGGATTTAGAGACAAAAGAGTTCAAGTCTTCTGGCCTTTTCGCTGGCTTGTGACCAAATGTCATTCCTCTCTGGATATCCCTAGTAACCTGGAATATGAACCTAGAGTGGTCGGCGTTGGTTTCGACGAAAATAGCGTGGTGGTCTCGTGGTGCGCCAAGGTAAGACACTAAGTAGACCGCGTAAGATATGGTAAGGTGGTAAAGGCAACAATGACGATATAAACTTGGAACTAAAAGGTGATTGCTAAGACGTATGGCTTTGATATTTTTTAGTACTAGACGGATTGAGCGCGTTATATATCCATAAGTAAGACATTGCTACTTAATATGTTGTACCGCCTTAATGTGATAATTTTGTCCCTTTGGACTCCCTTTGATTAGGCTCGTACTATAATAGCTAATCAAGCTGGATGAATGACGATACTATTCTTGCTGTGATGCAGCAACAATACTTTATCGCGCGCTAACACCTTTAACCTAAAATTAAGACAAAGGATGAACTATTAAACACGGCGCATGAGTTAAGAGTAATAATTACTATGCTGGACGGCGAAGCGCCCGGGACGGCGACACGCCTGCTCTACCCCACTAATTACTACCAACATTACCAACGTCACCATGCCACAACTATTCTAAATTTAGCCTATCTAAGCTACACTTTAAGCTACAGCTGCTTTAGAACCTGGAGAAAAACTTTTATAATTACACTAAGAGCGCTGGAAGATTTGATGTTGGCCGTAGAACGCTCGTACGGCCGCATTAAGGTCTATCTACCTCACGCACTATCCGCTATTAAAATTAGCAGGCTCTCTACCCAGAACAGGAAATCAAGCTTATAGAATATATAGACCTACTTAGCGTAAGCGGCACGGAACCTAATAGAAATCTCGTTTGGAGTTTTGCTGCGGAGATCGCGTAGAAAGAGATTGGTTATCACTAGGTTGATCGCTTTGTTCAACACTGCCTATCCAGATCTTCTCTAAGCAAAACAGGTTACCCCTCATCTGGCCTAGCACAGCGGATGTCCTAGTACTTAGGGAGGGACGTTAGTAAGTAGCTATTTCAGTCAGGAAGCTCTTGGAAACATAGAAAGCTTTTCAACAATACTGTAAATGATTGACCGTCTATAGACCGAGTGCCGCTATTTAAGCAGAACAAACGGCGTAAACAATAGATAATGAATTTCCTTAACTTCTAGAAGCATACATTCATGCCCCTGACCGTGCGATACGATACTATACCAGGAAGTAGCTAAGGGCATAAAGTTTCTATTCCCGAATTTTCTAAGCTATACAGTCGTCGTTGGTGTTACTAAGAGAGAAAGTGATGTCGGTCTTCCGTTACGCGCGGATAGACGTTAGTTTTATTTTCTACTGTACGGGCTTACGTTGAATGAAATCGAGCATAGTTTCACGACCACAGCTCTCGAAGTAGAATATCTATCTAAGTATATTCATTTCGAAACGGCTTAAGCGCTCGATCAATCTAGTAGTTCTAGTTATTATCCTATCGTCCGCAGGCAAATATAGCTCTCGCATACTCCCAGTAACTTGGATACTAACTGGCAAATTCCCAGTTAATGATCATAAGTTGCCGATCTGTAATGTCCCGTGGCGCTTCAGTCTTTGTTGCTGCTGAAGAACCACGCAACATGATGTTCTTTCGCTGGAAGTCTGCGTACGAGAAAACAGGTACGTAGCCTTAAAAAATATCCTTAAAAGTGCGCGAGTAATAATCCGCTTTATATCTAGAGAGGCCGTTCTCGACGTATTTTGCTAACATAGCATTGTTTAGATCTGTCTCTGTATCGAATGGCCCTGAAAATGGATTCGATGGGTTGTTCGTCCAGAAGAGACCATCTGGTAACCCGCGATAACTAACACTATAGTATCCTCCAGGAGTCTCTATTTTTCGCATCTCCTCAAAAATCGACCGGAGTTTCGAGGAAACAGCCTCTTTTAACGCCTGATCCATCTTTGGCCACTCCGATTCTAGATTTGAGCCTTTGATACGTTCCATGACGATATAGTTGCTGCTTTGGTCCGCGCTCCGGAATAATGCATAGATGCGCGGCACCGGAATAGTTGTTGCTTACTCTAGAAAAAGCTGCGTCTCTCCCTCTAGTAGTTCGACTTATACTCCATATTTAACAACAAAGTGATCGCCAACTCCGACAACTTTACGCCCGGTAGTGTCGCTAAAGATTTCTATTACAGATTAGATTTCTTCCACTGTTAGGAGTCTTGCGGGAAGACTAGCATCATCGGCCATATACGGAAGATTAAAAGGGGCCATTTTGGATACTATAGGATAAGCTCAAGGCGAAAGAGATTATTAGTTCGTTACAAAGAACTGCGGCTGACTACTGACACGATTATATGATTAAGAAGCTAAGCACGGGCCACGGGCCAAGTCAAGTGTAGCTAGCCCCACCACAAAGTGCGCGCAACCACAAAGTGCGCGCACAGCCTGGCAAGCACCACAACTTCAACGCGTCGTATCCCCACCACTATAAGTAATATCGAGGCTGCGCTTGCAGCTATTGATGCTCTAGCACCTAGAGAGCCTTTCACATACACAAAAATTACAAACCAATATAGTGTTATTCGATCTATACTCACCCGAAGACACCAAGGCCAATGCGCCTCACGCGCAGTAGGTGGCCAAAAACGACAGCTCCTCCACCCACACCAAGAGCAGGCTCTAATAGCCTATATCAATCAACTTATAGAGAGAGGCTTACCTCCTAGTCAGTCAATAATACGCAATTTTGCGTTAAACATCGCTAAGAGAGAGGTTAGATTGAACTGGGCTAGTCGCTTTGTTCAGCGCTATCCTAATCAGCTCACCTCAAGATAGGCGATAGGCCTCGATAACTGTCGCCACAAAGTAGATTCAAGAAGTAAGTATAGCCTCTACTTTAGCCTCCTATGCAATAAAATTAATCAATATCGCGTCGAGGCGCGTCATATCTACAATATAGATAAGAAGGGCTTCATACTTAGTATCGTAAGTCGTTTAAGGAGGATCTTTAGTAAGGCCTCGTACGAGGGCATCAGGGGGAGGAGTACGATACAGGATGGCTCACGCCAGTAGTTAACGCTGTTAGCCTATATCTGCGCAGATAGATCCTACCTTGAGCCTGCCCTTATATATCAATCAGCCTCAGGATCGATACAGGACACCTAGCTGCAGGCCCTTAATACAGATACTCACTAAATTCGAATATCCTTATCGCGCTTAGGATGGACGAATAATAAGATAGGCCTCGTGTGGCTGCAATAGGTGTTCGATCGTTATATAAAGGCAAAGGCACGCTCCTCCTACCGATTGCTTATTCTTAACGGCCATAGATCTTACCTTACAATGGATTTTATTAAGTACTGTGATGAGTATAAGATTCTCCTCGCAGTCTATCCTTCTTACTTAACCCACACGCTGCAGCCTCTTGATGTGAGCATGTTCAAGCCTCTCTTAACGGCGTACTTAAACGAGGTTTCTGCCTTCCTAGATAGGAGCTAAGGCCTTACTTTAATAAGTAAGAGGGATTTCTTACCCCTCTTCTAGGCTGCCTGGCAGGCCTCCTTCAAGGAAATAATAATTCTGAACACCTTTAAGGCTATAGGCCTCTTACTTTTTAACCTAGAAGTAATCCTTTAGCGCTTCTCTATTTCTGATTCTACGAGCGATAGTGACTCCTTAGCCCTTAGTGCCTCTGATTGGAGGAGGATAGAGCGTCTGCTGCGTTAGGTAGTCGCTGATTAAGGCGATAGGCAGGTTAAAAGGCTAAGCTAGGTCCTTCACTTAAGTTTAGTTTAAAACAGTCTCCTTAAGGATGAAGTAAGGAAGTTAAGGGAGGCTCTAGTTAATGAGAGAACGCGTAGGAAACGAGGTAAGCCTCTGCCTCTACAGGAGGCTGAGGAGTATTATGGTGGAGCTGTGTTCTAGTCTCTAAGGAAGGTGAAGGAGGCGCGCGATCGCCTATAACTCTAGGAGGAGGAGGAGGAGCAGCTACAACTCCAAAAAGCTGATATAATGAGGCAGCGTGAGGAGACAAGATAGGCGAAGGTGAGGGAGAAGGAGCAGAGGCGTTAGGCGAGGCTTGCAGTAAGCCTACTGAGGCAGAAGGAGAGGGAGGAGAAGGCTATTGAAAAGGCCTCAAGGATCGCGGCTTGTAAAGCTGCACAACAACTTCAAAAAGCTATTAAAACTTCCTAAAGGGGTAAAAAGAGGAGCTCTAAGGCTTCTATTAAGGTTGTTTGAAAAAAGAGGCCTATCGCGAGGACTCAAGGTGGTGAGGAGCCTCAGGGAGGCGTTGCAGGCTCACCACCTCCAACCTCACGGCGCGGCCGCGCAATTAGAACTCTATCTAGATTTCTATAGCTACACGTATTTATTAAGGCTTTCTAGCCTTAACGCTAAAAAATATAGTTATAACAATCATTTGTTGTAGCTCTACAGCCTCATTTATGAGATAGTTTTGGTGAGGCCGCGCGCGCACTTTGTGGTGGGGCTAGCTAGGCCCGTGCGGAGCACGGGCAATTTCATTGAAATTCTGCTACAGCAGCCGTTGGGCCCGAGTAGATGTCCAGTGATTGAAGGCTGTGCGTGGGGGTGGTACATATTTTAACCTCGAATAAGGATCTGCAGCACGGCATACTGAACGGTAATGGAACGATGTTGGTGATAGAGAGGCCGCGCATCTGTGGTTCTGATTAGCTTACGTTGGATTTTGGCTAGGAAAATGGAACGGCAAGCCCGTGACTGCAGATCTGATTGCTTCAGGACTGCCTGATTCCTATGGGGATTGCTCACAACCCTTGATTGTGAACTCTGTAGCCTAGCCAGCCAGTAAAGTAGAAGCTGTTATATATAGTTAGCCGCCGCGGAGGGGCCACGCTAATAAGCGGGTCCTAATTGTGATTGCTGTGTAGCGCTGTCAGATCCTTGGCGCGTTTGAATGCACATAGTGGAATGCTAGTTAACTCTATCACGCTTTGATCGTGATGATAATATAGCCCACCTTTGTTACAGTAAGCTTTTTTGCTTCTTTTAGACATGCTATACTGGTTTATGTATTACGAGATTGAAAAAGAATTTTTGGGCTCGCCTATTTTAAGGCTAGATAGAAGGCAGACGATCGGTTTACTGTATGGCTTTTTATTGGAGGCCGTAGCGCTTGCCACGGGCGCCTAAGAACGCTCTAAATCTAGTATATGGAGTGTCTCTTGCAGCTAGGCCGCCTTATAATCTTAATGAATATTTCGTCACCCTCTTCTCTGGTCGCCTTTTTCATTCTTTTTTTTTGGCGGGCCTCTTTATCCTCAAGTCTGTTGCGCGAGCTGTTAGCGCGTTGTCATTAGCACTATTTAACACTACTAATACAATTGTGTTGCACGACAAAAATGGAGCGTAAACGATCTAGAGGTATGGTTCTATAATGCTGATCGTTTATAATGCGCGGTCTGATTAAATTATGGGTTCACAGTTACTCCCGAAAACTACACGCGAGCCATAATATCGCTCTTAAGAAGATGCTCGAGCATATCTGTCTTCCCGGGAAACAATTATATTGATATGGGAGATTGGATGCTACTAGACCGCAATCTTCTTAACCTTCTAAAAAGAGAAGAACAGGCCATTCTGTTCGCTTCTGATGCTGGATAAACTCACGACCTTGTTGTTGTGTACAACAGTAGCGAAGGGAAGTGGGATGTGCAAGGATATAGTTAAGAGGAACACGGAGACTTCTATGCTGCTATCTCTGCTCCTAAGGTAGGCCTCGGGCAATTAATTTTCATTTGAGGTTTTATATCGCTATCATGGGTATCCACTATTGGGAGCAAATACAACATCGACCCGGAATTCTTTAGACGACATATGGAATACTTTTCGGCGAGCGTTGACTGGTATGTATATAGTCTTCTATCACTCGCTAGTTCGTCTAATAATATATTCCGGCTTTGTGTGAGCACAATTCTCCACCGTGATAGGTTTGATAGACAGGATCTTTAGTTACAGCGATCTAATCAATTAGATGAACTTGGGGTATACAAGACATAACAGCTTAGATCTAAAGTCCGTTGTGGAGACTTAGTGGTGCGCGAGTACTCTACCTTGTGCTTATGCTTCTCCGTAATTGAGCAATGGATATTGCTTTGTGTCACAAAGACAGACTATGGTTGGGCCGGTAAAAGACCTCATAATATGGCACGAAGAGAGTTTGCTGATACAGGATCTAGTTGTCGTTTGGATGGACCACGGTAGACCCTTAGAGAAGTTACCTCCCGGACCATGGACAAGTCATATCAAATCTAAGGCCACAGCGTTACCTATAATTCAGCACTATCACAAGATGGCATTTTGAACCACTACTAACTATCTAGATCTAAATACTAATTCTTTGGTGGAATTCTAGCAGAGTACGGCTGTTCTCCCCTTGTAGTACGATTTACTGGTCGGGCTCGTCGATCTGTCCCGTCGCGCAGCTTAAGATCCGCTATCGATGTGCATTCTATTATTTGCGTATGCTGCTTTCTCTGAAATTTAGTTTTTAAACCTTATAGAGTCCAGGATTCGAATGCAGATTGATGCGGTAGCCAAAGGAGTCTCAGCTGACGCATTAGGAACTTTTTAGTATTTTTGTAATATTCTGGACAGGTATGCTTAGCAGCTGGCAGAAAGCACTCGCGCGTTCTGCAAATTGATCAATCAAAGTAATCAAAGGTTAAATAGTGTTAGAGCGGCAAGCCTAATGTCCAAAATTGCTGTGCCCCCAAGTATTAGTATGCACCGGGAGATGTCAGAAACCGAGACAGCTAGAAATATTGGATTAAGTAATTTCGAAAATGCTTTTGCAGCGAATAACCTTTGGGAAGACTACGAGTAGCTCTATATTCGTTGTATCGACCTGTTGAGAATGTGCACTCAGGGTATAAATCTAGCGATGAACAAAGCTATAATTGAGGAGTCTCGAAAGGCAATTGAGCAATCTGAACGACTTAAAAAGCTAACTTTATTGGTAACGTTCTTTATTCCTCTCACCTTTAGCACTAGCTTGTTTGGTATGAACATTGATCTCCTTGGACAGAACGGCGTGCGATTTTGGTGGTTCTTTGTCCTATATGTCCTAATTACTTTGTCTGCCTACGTGCTTTATTTGTGGGACTTTCAGTTTCTGAAGCGGTGTTGGGTGAGATTCTGGAAAGATCGCCGCTGTGTGAGACGGAATAAGACGGCGGAGAAAAGCAA